ATTTTATGTCTTTAAAGTTTTAATCATCAGGTGATGTGCAAAAATGTTTTTTAGTTTTTACAAACAAAAATAATATTTACAAAGTAACATGTTGGTATAAGGAATCAATCATAGACACATTTTCATATGTACGGAGAAGAGAAATATTTCATTTACACTAAGTCAAAATGTACAGAACCAGCTACAACATCGTTGGTATTGACATACATCGAAGAAAGTTGGTTAAACTTAATTAACATCGTACTCTCTATTTATAAGTTTGTGTTGCATTGTCAGGTTAACTTATTTTAAGACATCCATAATTCTAGAAACAGAATAGATCAAAATTAGATACGAGACTTTGACCTTGTAGTGCTTCCCCACTTTTCCCAGGTGGAGATGACACGAATACCTCAATTATTCCTAATGTACATCAAAGCATTTGATTATACCAATAATAAGATTGTTAAAATATCTATGAGGGTTACAATACAATAGGATTATTTACTATGGGGAGATAGAATTGCAGTACTTTTGTATATAAATAGTTTAGGGATTCTTACAGATCGTGCACTTCAAACAGCTCACTTGTCTCTGAGCAATGCTCCTTGACCTACAGAAACGAAGAAAAAAAATACTACAACATGGAGACTGTAGAACATAAACTACTGCTTGTAATACCAAAAATTAATCGGTCATGTCGCATGAAAACTTGTTGCTACACAATTTTGATGTTTTTTCATGAAACAAAAAAAGAAGAACCAAGAATTACAATGAGCTCAAATTGTTCCCTGATAAACATGATTAAGCACTGGATCAAATATTGATGCTTCGGATCAAACTTGAAGTATCAGAAACCGAAGACATGAATGTGTGACTTAGTTGGCCGAAGTTGATATTGTAGTTAGTCATCCTTTTGTTCTATCTAAAAAATTGTCTTGCCCAGAAATAATACACAAATAAAATGCAGATCAAATACACTTTTATGAAAAACATTATTGTGCAATTTCAGTTATATTAGGCCAGCCTATTCCACTACGGTTTGCAATGCAAAAAAGATCTGACATCGGTTTGTAAGTTCGGCTTCCTATATCAGGTAATCACATTGCATAATTATTTTTTTATCTTATAATAACAACCAACCATTCGGCAAAGATTGTAATACTTTTACCCCTAAGAATAGATTCTAATACGTTTGCTTGGCATATCACATACATCACTACATAAACCTGACTTCAATATT